GTTGCACTGTTGTCTATTGAACACATTTAACGATATTATTGTTTTGTTTCTCTTCATTGACATCTACGCACCTTTTCTTTTGTGTCCAGGATTTTATACAAAATACTTATAAGTTTTATTTCAGGCAGTATGAATATGCAAAGTAAAAGGCAGGTGCACAGCAATAATTATTTCTAGCTTCAGAAATCTCCATCAGATGGCCCGTCCATACTTTTCGTTACTCTATCCACTGGGTTGATATCTAACTATGAACTACCTCAAAATGTCCGAGGAATAAGACCATCCTTGAGTATAGATATTAATCTGAGATCTCATTTATTGTTCAGGCAGACATTAAATATCTGACTGTACTATGGCTCAAAGTGTTGGAAGTCATTCTAATATTCTTGCCACAATGTCTTTAATAACAAATATCAAAAGTGTTTGTTTCAGCTTTGTTCCATTGGTAGTGAGCTGAAGATGAGTCATGGGGTTTTGGCTTTTGTGTTTTATCTCCTGTTTAAGGATTAAGCACTTGATCTAGGCTGACATTGCAATGCCATCTTTAGGATATTATTAGACAAAGTCCTAATCTACCTATTCTCATGGTTGAACTGGACAGCAAAGACTCTTGTTAGTTAGTTGATGAATATCTTCTTGAGTGCTGGCCCCCAGTTTCCTTCATTTTATGCTCTCAAAATGAACGTACCAATTCATTGAATTTATGTCATATTTCTTGGAACTTGCTTGTGATTCCAGATCCACAGCAACGTGGCTAACTGACTCTCCCTCTGAAATGGCCCTAGCAAGCCATCCAGTTCAAGGGCATAATGTATGGGCAATCACACTCACATCCCGTTAAAGAATAAAGAAAAAAAATTAAATCAAACTAATCAAAAATAATTAACGTTGTTGTTGTGAAGTTATTTCTTCTTTCTAGGAGTGGTCTTTAGAAATTTTAGTTTGAGATTACATTTGGAACTTATGATTCCCTGAAAGCTCATTAGTTCATCTACTACCCCAGAAAGGCCAAATCCCAGAGTGTATTTTCCCCTAAATTTGTTTATTCCTCTAGTATTTATTTGAATTTAATGGAGGAAAGGGCCCTGGTAAGTTGCACCATTAAATGGACAGCAAGTCATAGAATGATAGATTCATAGAAGAGTATGACACGGAGGGAGACCATTTGGCCCATTGTTATTTGAAAATGTTTGCATAGATTCAGTCTAGTTAATCCCGTAGCCCCACTTTTATTCCCCATATCCCTGCAATTTATCCTCCTTGAAGTATTTAGAAAAGTTCTCTTGGAAAGCTCCATTGAGTCTGTACCCATTACCTCACAGCAAAAACTAAATTCTAATCATTTGTTATGTAAAAATGTCTTCCTTACAACACTATTGGTTCTTTTGTTAAACACTATAAATTTATGCCCTCTCTACTTACTTGAGCTAAATCTTATATGATTTTGAGCACACCTGCCAAATTTCCTCTTTGGTTTCTTAGCTCTAAGAATAAGAATCCAAGCTTCTACAGTCTCTCCACGTACCTGCAATCCCCACTATCTGCAACCGATTGAATAAATTTCTTCGATGCTTTCTCTAAAGCTACTCATTCCCTTACATTTCTTATAACGCAAACAGTGTAGGCATAGCATGTTGTGGAAAATATAGCCACAATAGTTTTCATTTCCTTTTTGTTTCTTTTGAAACACACAGTGTTCATTTTCTAGATCTGAAAGAAAGTATAGGTTATTTTAGCTACTTAAATCGGTGATGGAGATTCCATTCATCTGGCAACTAATAAATACTCAAATGGTCATGAACTCCTCAGCTTCTTTACAATCTCTTTTCCCAAATAAAGCCTATTTCAAATCCTATAAGAAAATCTAAATGAAAATTGCTAGACATTTTTGGATATAACAGAATGTGTATTTGCATTCTGTTAGTGATGCAAATGAATTGTTCAATTAAAATGTCATCAAATGTACAGTTTGCCAAGTAATATCTTCCATTTTAAAATAAATATTTGAGTGACTTATTATTTAATGAATCATAATTCTCTGCTTATTTAATTACAGCTTGCATCATACATTTCACTAATACTCAGAATCATCGATGATTAGAGAACCTAACAAAGCTATCGACCCATTCTGTTTGTGACAGCTTTCTACAAAGCCAAATCAAAGCCACCACTACTGCCCTGAAGTAATGGGTACAGATTCAATGGTAGTTTGCCAAGGGAACTTTTCTAAATACTTCAAGGAGGAGAAATTGCAGGGATATGGATGCTGCCTGACCTGTTCTATTAATATTTTCTCTGTGTCTACTCTATAAAAACCTTTTATAACTTTATAGACCTGTATTAAATCACACTTCAGTCTTCTCTTTTCAGAAGAAAAGCTTATTCACCCTTTCCTGAAAAGTATAACCTAGCCTCACTGTTCTGGTGTATTTGGTCCATTTTTTTGTATGTCCCTATAAGTTCCTATTAGTTAAAGATTCATTTAAAAATATCAAATAGTTTGAACATTCTCCTTTATTAGATTTGTCTAGTTACCCAAATTGAGTAGTGAAAATAGAGAATTTCATTTTGACTATGTTTTAAATACTTTGTGAATAATAGGAATGATCGGTTTCACAAGTTTCCCTTTATTCTGTTTAACGATAATCATAAAAATGAAAAGGGAAGGAGAGAAAACAATTAAAATAAGTGAAGTGACCACAGAATTGATGGAAATGCAATAAGATGCTATTGTCTTCCTCTGCTTCAAATATTTATCCAAAATGAGCAATAATGTCTCTATCAACCACTTCTACAGCAAACACTTTTCTACTTAAGGGAATTTCTTCTAACACTTCACATCACAAGCAGTGATTTTCTAAACAATACCATTGTATTTCTTTAGTCACTTCAACTAAATCCATCATTATTTGTTGAACTTCTTTAAATTTTATTTTGGCCATGTTGGCTTCAAGAGAAATAATTGGAAGAGCTATTTTGCATTTGTCTGAGTTGTTATGAACTTCCTGAAAATATCTGTTTTAAACACGGTGCTAAACTATATTCAGACAAATAAAATTCCAAAAATTATGCATTGACGAATGAATAAAATAACAATTTCCCAAACCTGCCATCACCTCGACGAATCTCTGCTACAAACTGTTAATAGTTTTAAAGCTAATTCTAGAATGGAGAATATAAAAATATACATGATGCAAGGAATGATTGGAAGAACTATTCCGCGTTCATCTGAGTTGTCATGAACTCTCTGAAAATGTCTATTTTAAACACAGTGCTAAACTAGATATAGATAAACAAAATTCCAAAAATTATGCATTGACAAATGAATAAAATAACAATTTCCCAACCCTGCCATCACCTTGATGAATCTCTGCTACAAACTGTTAATAGCTTTAAAGCTAATTCTAGAATGGGGAATATAAAAATATGCATGATATGCCATTCCCGATGCTTTGTAAAATTTATCTTTACTTCTGTATTCCATCCTAATATTTACAAAACCCAAAATAGTTTTGGTTTTCCAGAATAGCTTTATATATCTGTATTTGCACACCACAACAATACATTTAAGTAAACTTGTCTTATGTTGTAACAAAATTCATACTTGAATTGCCAATGAGCAAATGATGAAATGATCATGGTTTCCTGCACTTACTTTACCTAAACTATGATTGACAGGATGAGCCCTTATTCACTGTCCACATCTCTGCCCCCAAATTCCCCCTTTTTCTATGGATTTACCCTGATTCATTTCATTGAAACTCAGGGACAGACAGGGTGGCAAAGGAAATTAGATCAGATATGGAAAGAAGTTGGAAAAGGAGCTAATTTGACATACGTACAACAACAGGGAAATCATGAGTATAGTTTTCCAGCAATGAAATCCCAATGTTAATATTTAACTTATTGTCACAGTATCTCTTTGGAGTAAAAACATAACAGCCCTGGATTAAAATATGATCTCCATCTTGGGAATCTAGATATTCATGCTTTGTAGGGTTGCATCTCATCAATGTGGCAGTGATAGGAGACTGCATTGGAACTTTCAAGACCATTATAATTTGTAATAGCGCAGCGATAATCAGACCTCAGTCTGGTTAACAAACATGTCAAAACTATTTTAGACATTTTCCTGTGCTTTAATAAGTTGGCTACTGCACTGAGTAATACAATCTCTTTTACCTAAAAGTACCTGGAGGATAGGACCCAGAAACAAGACATGTATCCCAACTGGTTCATATTGATGTTTTTGTTCTATTCAAGTCTCTTCCCATCCCTCCTTGCCTAACACTATCAGCATAACCTTCTAATTCCCTTTTCCCTCATATCCTTAAAAGTATCTGGATTATTTGCCTCCCAACCACTCCCTGTGGTGGTGAGTTCCAGATTCTCACAATGCTATGGATAAAATACTTTCTAAGTAATTCCTAATTTAACTTTTTGATGATTGTCTTACATTAATGGCCTCTGTTTTGTCTCTAGCCCTTTCTCTGTTTTGCTGAATGGTCATCAATATGAAATGTTAATTGTTTCTCTCTACAGATGCCGCCTGACCCGTTCTTTTAATGCTGTCTCAATATCTACTCTATGAAAGCCTTTTAGAACTTTATAGACCTGTATTAAGTCACACTTCAGACTTCTCTTTTCAAAAGAACAGTGGCCTAGCGTATTCACCCTTTCCTGAAAAATACAACCTAACGTCACTGTTCTGGTGTATTTGATCCATTTTTTGTATGTCCCGATAAGTTCCTCTCAGTGTAAATATTCATTTAAAAACATCAAATGGTTTGAACATTCTCCTTTATTAGATTTACCCAAATCGAGCAGTGAAAATGGAGAATTTCATTTTGAATATGTCTGGAGTACAAGAATAATGAGTTTCACAAGCTTCCTTTTATTCTGGTTAACAATAATCACAAAAATGAAAAATGAAGAGAAAACAATTTAAAATAAGTGAAGTAACCACAGAATTGATGGAAATTTGATAAGATGCTACTCACTTTGTTGTTTCTGCCGTGCCTTATCACATATGGCAGGTCTCTGATAGATCTTTTTCCCATCAGGCAGGGTGCAATCGTTGCTGCAAAGTACTACTCCTAAACAGGATTTCTTCAGAATGTGGCAGTTGTGGTTGTTGGTATTCCTCATGGCCCATCCACTCTGATGCCTCTGTGCATTTTTATCATCAGCACTATAAATAAATTTAACATAGGAATCTGTCCATTCCTGGAAACGATCCAACTGATGCACATCCTTTAAAGAAAAATTAAACAATGAACGAAAGTTTTTAAAAAAAAAGATAAAGACATATGCATTTAATCACAATCTGCAACGAAAATGAAAATATCAGGAATGCCTCTAATGTGAAGGGTTATTTATTACCATGTCTCTAGTTTGGCAAAATCGTCCAAAAATAAAATTATAATTTTTTTATAGGTGATTTTAGTGTAAAACAAAATTATAATGAAAATTACTAACTAATACATCTGCACTAAAACAGTATAACTTTTAGCAGCAAAGAATTTTGCATCAAGAATAATGCTTTTGACAGAAATCTTAATGTAATAGACCTTGTATCAGACAGTAGTCAATAAATTGTTTAGTATAATTGACTTAAAGCAATTGACTCTGTCATGTTTCCAGGTGTTGGGTTTGGATCTGAATATGCTTTAACAGGATATCACTCATCCATTTTTATCTTTCCCGACTCTTGTGTTATTTTAAAAGAAATTCTTAAATTCATGTCATTTCATTTTTCAACTGATGCAGAAATAACTGATAAACATTTTTGTGGTGACTTTTAACAGTTCTGATTAAAGCATAATGTTTTAATCAATGGGAAATGTTTCATGAAGTAGGGTGTCTGACACAGAGCAGCTGAATTAATTTATACAGGGCTAAAAGATGCTAAGCATTCTAGATTAACAAAGGACAAACTTGCATTTGTATAGCCACTGTCATATCCATCCGAAGTACTTCAAGGCAACTTGAACTGCAGTTTTTTTTTGTGTTACAGGGGCAAATGTGGTAGCCAAATGAACTTCCCAGCTCCCTTTCAAATATTGCTTTTAAATCCAGTCATTACATCCCACCCTAAAGATAACATTTTTATGGCACTGTTGCCTGGTTGTAATGGAAGGGTCCCAGATGATGTGTTCAAGTCCTGAGAGTGGCTACCACTATCCGCCCAAAGGCCAGTTCCCTACCGCCCGCATCAAACTTACAACTATCATTCAGTTCAGCTCTCCTACGAAGCAGGCTTGGAAAACATATAGTAGTTAGTTCACAGTAGAATGAGACAGGAGTCTACATTAAGACTTTAACAATAGTAATCACTTGTCTATTTAATATTTAGGGGTCAGCCATCTAATACAGGTTGTGCATTTGCCATTTGCTCTGAAGGTAGTTTTAGCGCGGTCCCTTTGTGACACTTAGGTCAGAAAAAAAATCGAAATATTCTTTAGGCAAACGTTTCGCAAAATGTACAAACGATTGTAAGAAAAATAAAACAGATTTCACAACTTTAAAGTGAGGAAAGAGTGTAAGAATGCGCTTTGGAATGGACGGAATATTTTGGTCGAGAATGACAACACCTTAGTGAGTAATACATAAGGCGGGTGCACGCCTTTCGGGCGATTCTAGGTTTTTGTTTTAACGAATCCATTCGGATTTGTTATGACACACCTCAGCGGAAAGTGAGACTTGAACCCAAACCTTCAAACCCTGAGGTTGGGACACGACCACTGCTCCACAAGACCTTTCTGACGACCCTATGCTTGCCCCTCACACGCTCCGAAATGTACATAGACCTTCTAAATGCGAGAAGTTCTGGAAATGGTTGAGTTCAATGCAATGAGATTAATAAAGGGTCACTAAGAATCTGAAATTAAAACAGCAAATGCTGGAAATACGCAACCGGTCAGGCAGCATCTGTAAAGAGAAATATCCGAACGTGGACTTTTTTTCTCTGCAGCCAGATCTGAAAGTGTTCTGAAAGGTCACTGCACCTGAAACGTTAACTCTGCTTTCTCTCGACAGACGTGCTGAGTTTTTCCAGCAATTTCTGTCTTTTTTTTCAGTTTCTAAAAGACTTGAGCTCGGGCTGTCACTTCACATTGAAGTAGCGAGTAAATGGTTTCATGCCTAGAATGCCTTTTCATGCCTTTTCATGCCTAGAACCAGTTACCCATGTTGCGCTTTAGATAGAATATCATGGTCCTTAACTGTACGTGCTTGAGAATGGAGGCAGCACGTTAAAGTTACAGGTTACATCCTGATGTAAAGAGAAAGGCTTGGTGTTGTGGGGCAATATCCTGGTCCAGTGTAAGACACACTCACCTGGGGCAGTTTGGGGTCGTTGATGTCCCAGGATATAGGCGATTCCAGTGCAGAGATGTAGTCGGAGTCGGGGAAACAACGCTCCCCGCTTTTCAACATCCTCCCGGCTGGTACAAACTCGAAGGAAAATGCTTGTTTCTAACCTCTTGCAAAAACCCCAGAACCGGTTTAGCCGAGAGGTTTGAATTCCCCTTCTGAAAAGGAGATCGAAGATAAGTGTCAATTCTGCATAGCTGACAAAGACTTGTTCCCAGCTATAACGTAAACTATTCCATGGAACAGAGGGCACAATTCAGACAAATGGTTTACCTGCGCAAAGGAAAGCAAATAAACTTAACAAACGAAACGTTTCTCTCTCCCTCGTAGCATCTTCCTCAACAGAAGCGTCAACTCATCAATAAAATCCAGGTGAAGTGCAAGGGGAGCAGTGATCTTGTGCACCGGTCTGAAGGATTGTGCAGAACTGAATAAATTTAATCCCATTCCCAAATGGATTGATACCACAAGTTTTGTATCTGCCTGGATGCTAAGAAGTTTATCTCACCTCAGACAGAAAAAAAAAGCAAATCCCTGGCAAATAACACACCATTAGAAAAATTGCCTAGGAAACACTATTGGGAAACTAAAGCTACACAAAATTTGGGTGAGTACATTTAAAAGCATCTGGGCAAGCAACTGCAGAGAATTTTGAGAGATAAGGGAAACAGAAACTGAGCTGTCAATACCAATAGAATCTGTGAGGAGAAAAACCGAGAGAACTGCGGATGCTGTAAATCAGAAGCAAAAACAGAATTTCTGCTGGAAAAACTCAGCAGGTCTGGCAACATCTCTGAAGAGAAAGTACAGTTGATGTTTCGGGTCCGGTGAGCCTTCCTCAGAACTTAAAGAATAAGATCAGTTTTGGATGGGAGATGCCCAAGCTCTGATACTCAGCCAGGAGAAGTTGCTGTATCGCTTTACCTGACTACAGCCGGCTCTGAGGAAGCGATTGCCCTGTCCGCCCAGCCAGAATGACTGAAGTTCCGAGCTGAAGGGAACAGCAGCCTGAGTGAGTCACTCACTGCCAGAACAGGAGTCGCAATTTTCCTCAGAACAGCAACTCGATCGCATGTCATGCAAATAAGTTCCGCACTCTGTCCAATGAGCGGCTCACAAGGGACCGAGTTGAGGTTTGGTTCGAAGAAGGACGAAAAAGAATCATTTCACTTAAACTGACAGGTAGAGAGCGCAGGGGCGGTGGTGGAATCCGACACGTTCTCTAGTTAAACATAAAAAGTAGTATTAGTGTCTCGAGTGTTTAAGCAACCAGCTGGCCCATAGCGACATGCCCCTCGTTCTTAATAGCCCCCAGAGCAGGCCCTTGGCTGGTAGGTGCTGGAGCTACCTTGGTCCCTATGGATCACTTGTCCCCACTGGACCTTCACCTGCTAAAGTGGAGGAACCCACCAGTGTGGATCACTCCTGTACTTGCTGTGTCTTGTTCACAGTGGACAATACCTTAGTATGCTGAAAGATATGCTTGTGTTCCTCACTTCCTTGAGAGGTAGGAGCCTAAGAATAGAATTTCGAGCAACTTTCACTTGGATAGCACCTTTGCATAGAGGCTAGGAGCAGGAGAAGGCTATTCAGCCCTTCAAGCCTTTTCCACCCATATGATCCACCATATGTGGCTTATCCTCTACCTCAATGTCATATTTCCACATTCTCCCTCTAGCCCTTGAGGCCTTTAATGTCTAAAAATGTATCCATCTCTTTCTTGAATATATTCAGCAACATAGCCTCCTCAGCCTTCTATTGTAAAGCATTCCACAGCACTTTCACAGGATTGAAAAACAAATATCAAGTCAAAAACAGGACTCTCTTGACCAAATATTTGGTCCAAGAGTAGGTTTTGAAGGAGCATCTTGAAAAGAGTGGAACTGGCTGGTGAGTCAAATCATTTCAGGAAGAGTATTCCAGAACCAAAAGCACAGTAGTGGGGAGAAGGAATTGGGCTGCACAGTGACTAGAGTTGGAGGAATGTAGAGTGCCCAAGGGAGTTGTCAGACCAGAGGAAATTACAGAGATGGGAAGGATTTGGACTGGACAGTGAAAATAAGTTAGCACACCAGTGCACCTATGATCTATCCACAGAAAAGACCCTGAGCTTCCATTTGCTTGCTACTTCAACACGCCACCATGTTCTCTGGCCAACATTTCTATCTCAGGCTTTCTGGAGAGCTCCAGTGAAGCTCAGCACAAGCTGGAAGAATAGCACCTCATTTTCCACTTGGGAACTCTGCAGCCTTCTGGACTTAATATCAAGTTCAACAATTTTAGGGCTTGAGCACCTTTCCCCATGATTTCCCCCAGCACCACACACCAGGCCTTGTCACCACATGAGCTGCCACCACACAATACCCCTTGTCAGCTACTAATAGTTCTGGTTACCAGCTATTAATTTCCCCCAGACTGACCTTTAATTCCCTTGTCTGTCCAACTGTTCTTTTCTCTCTTTGGGCTCTATTTCCATCTATCATTTACTGTCTCCTCTCCCCCATGCCATCTTCTGTATAAAAACCATTCTTTTCCTAGCTACCATCAGTTCGGAAGAAGAGTTACTGGACACAAAATATTAACTCTGATTTTTCACCACAGATGCTACCAGACTTGCCGAGATTTTCTGGCAATTTCTGTTTTTATGACACACTAGTGGGCCAGGTGCCAAAGTAAGTCAGCAAAAACATGGGTGATGAATCATACAGCTGCCTCCTGGATTGAAGGTGTTGTCGTATGAGGAAAGGTTGAGTATGTTGGACTAATTTTCTTTCGTACTTTTAAAAACAAGATGGGATTCTATTGACATGATGAAGGTTGTTTGGGAGCTTGACAGGGCAAATGCTGGGACAATGCTGGAGGATCTAGAAATAGGGATAGAGTTAATAAACAAAACGCCTCCTTCTTAAGATGGAGATGAAGGGAAATCATTCCTGTCAGAGGCTTATTAATCTTTAGAATCCCCTTTCCCCGAGAACAGCGGAGCCTGGGTCAGTAATTGAATTCAAGATTGATTTAGACAGATTTTTGTTTGACAAGGGAGTCAGAGATATGGGGAATAGGCAAGGTATTGGAGTTGATGCCGCAATCAGATCAGCAGTGATTTTATTGAATGTAGACAGATCAGACTTAGTTCAGGATCAGGCCTATTCCTGCTCCTATTTCTATTCTGTTATGGATCTTGGAGCAGATTGCAAAATGTCTCGCAGTATTTGAGTTAGCTCACATTTATGAGAGGGGGGGGAGAAGATAACATGGAGGTAACAAAAGCATGGATACTGATTTTGTCAGCAGTTAAACTGAGGGAGTTGTGGTGACAGCCATCATTAAGGATATCTTTGTGATGAAGAACGTTTGGATTCAATTCTTAGGGTCAGAGAGAAATCCAAGCTTGTGAACAGTTTTGTTCAGCCTAAGGCAGTTGGGGCAAATGGTCAAGGAATGAAGATTATGACAATGGCCCAAATCTTTCCATTTCCAGATTGTTAGATTGCAAGATGCATATTGAGACCCAGGGAAATCACGATGTAGGTTAGTTATACTCTATATTAATGACTTGGGTGCAGGGATGGAAGGTACTATAGCAAAATGTTCCGGTTACCCTAAAATAAGTGGGACAGTAAGTTGCAATCAAAAAGGACGAAAAGAATTATTTCACTTAAACCGAAAATCAGATATTTTTAAATGGAGATTGATAGGTTAGGAGGATGAGCCAAAGTTTGACAGATGTAATGACAATGTGCATAAGAGTTAGGTTATCCATTTTGGTCAGAAGAATAGAAAGACAACTTATTAGCTAAATGGAAAGAAATTTCAGGATGCTTCAGTGCAGAGGGATTTGGGTATCCTTATTTGTGAATCATGAAAACTAGCTGGTATAGCTGGTAATAAGGAAGACAAATGGAATTTTGGCTTTTATTGCTAAAGGAATACAGTATAAAAATAGGAAAAGTAGGGCTGCTGTAACTGTACAAGGCATCGGTAAAACCCCACCTGGAGTGTTGCGTACAATTTTGGTCTCCTTATTTGAGGAGGGATGTATTTGTATTAGAGGCAGCTAAGAGGAGGCTCACTAGATTGATTCCAGAAATGAGGGGTTTGTCTTGTGAAGAGAGATTGAGCAGTTTAGACATATACTCTCTGTAGTTTAGAAGAATGAGAGATAATCTAATTGAGTTATATAAGATGCTAAAGGGGATTGACAAAGTAGATGTTGAAAGGATGTTTTCTCCTGTGGGGCAATCTAGAACAAGAGGTTAAAATTTTTAGGATAAGGGGTAGCAGACTTAAAACAGAAATGAGGAGAAATGACTTCTTTCAAAAGGTTACGGATCTGTGTCACCATCCCAGAGTGTGGTGCATGCCAGGACATCAAGTAAATTTAAGGAGGAGATAGGCAGATTTTTAATTATTAATGGTTTGAAGAGTAATGGGGAATGGGAAAGAAAATGGAGTTGAAGCTGAGATGAGATCAGCCATGATTGTATTGAATAGTGGAGCCGTCTCAAGGGACTGAATTGACCTTCCTGCTGCTAGTTCTTATGTTCTTGTGACCTCCATGGGAATTGCTTGGGAAGTTTAAACTTCTAGCATGCAATTGCCATGCTCTATGGAACCATCAGCAAAAGTCTCTGACTCTGAGTTAGACTCAGATTTATCTGTCTACCATTTCTTGAGTAACTGCACAACACGAACTGCCCCTCTCCCCACTAATAAACTTACTCTGATCCCGTAACTTCCCCTGACAGTCCCCAACTAACCCTTCCCTAAAATCTTTCCCCAACCCATGGGTTTCTTCCAATTCATTCTGACCTGACTGACTCCCCCTAATCTCAAATCCTGACCGCCAAGTTTCTCCTTGACAACCTTACTACCCCATCAATGCACCACCTCTTGACTTCTCCTTCAGGCCACATTACCCGCTGATTTGACTACCTCATAAAGATCCACTACTCAACAGGTTCAGCCCCAAATCAATGATCGATCTTGGCCCAACACAATGAGTCACATCTCCTACCCTACCCACCTATCAGCTCACATGTCATTCTGCCCAACTTCACACT